GTGTTGTGTATGCACACGCATCGCCAATGGACACGCGTGATGATGAACTTGTATTGGACGAAAAAACGGGTGAGCTACGACACAAAATACCAGATGATTTCATAGTTGCAACTGACGACGATACAGATTCAGAAATCGATGAAGATCGTGCTGAGAATGACGATTTTTTAGAGCAACGTTACCCACCTGTACTCGATAGCGACATTGAAATTGAATCCGACACAGAAATTGGTGCTACATTCGATTATGTTGCCTCCGGCACTGGTGAATGGAGAATGGCCACGGAGGAAGACGGCGATATATTTACTATTCCAGTTTTTGAACTCGAACCTGGACCAACTTTCGAACTGCCTTCATATGCTCCTGAGGTGGAATATTTCTACAAATTTATCCCACCAGAACTGATAGAACTGGCTTCTACCGAGACTAATAAATACGCCAAATATCATCAAAAATGCATTGCAAAAAAATTAAATGCCCGCTGGCGTAATACAAATTTCATTGAAATGCAAGCATTCTTTGGTGTGATGATATGTATGGGTGTTGATCACAAATCAGCAATCGACGATTATTGGTCGAGTGACCCCTTTCTGCAGAACATGGGAATTGCATCAGTAATGACTCAGGCCAGATTTCAAATGCTAATGCGTTATTATCATTTAGCTGATCCGGTAAATAACCCACAGCGGGATCCTGACATTGAACGTCGTCGTCAACGATCAGAGGCCGACCCGTTGTACAAAATCAACCCGTGGCTAAAACACATACTCGAAAATTGTCGGCGATATTATCAGATGGGACAGGAAATTTCGATTGACGAGGGTATGGTGAGATTCAAGGAAAGGTCCATGTTTAAGCAGAGATTGCCCCACAAACCCGACCGTGATGGCTTCAAAATATGGCAGGTGTGCGACTCTACAACGTCTTACATTGCGAACTTTAAACTGTATTTGGGAGTGAAATATAAAACTACAAATGAGGGAAGAAAGAAACTGGGACAATCAAGAAGACTGTGCACCGGTTGTTACAGCCCCTCACAGAAAAAAACCATATTCTTTTCTGTGAGTCGCTTTTTACCTCAGTTAACACAGGCCTTGAATTACAAGACAAGAAAGTGTACATGGTCGGTAGTTTTAGCAGACGAAATCGGAAAACCATGCCGCCACAATTAATTCCTGAGGGGAAAAGCAAGAAGCTGAAATTGAAAATTGGTGAAATGAAAGCAGCAACTAGACCGGACGACACTATCAATAATATTACTGCATACCAGGATGACAGCACGCAAATATTGATTTTAAATACAGTCTATCCCCCACTGGCTACTTCGGCAGAAGCAGTAGATGACGACAGACACATGCCTGTATCGTTACAATGTTCCAGACATCACATGGGTAGCATGGATCGTTCTAACCAAAGGCGAAAATACTATCACACGGGCAGAAAAAACAATCATTGGTCGATCTGCATGACCTGTTACCTCATAGATGTTGCATTGGTCAATGCTTATGAATGTTTCAAGGCATTGAATCGCACGACTAAAGTAACGCACAAATTCTTCAATATCTGCACAGGTAAACAACTGATTGGTGGACACTCGAGTAGAATTCAAAAATCCACAAGAGAAGTTGGCTCTCTTCCAAGTAACACGTCATTTATTCGTAGTGAAAACATGGATTCGCACGAAATATGCAGACTACCCGGGCATCAAAAATCGTGTAAGCAGTGCAGCAAGGACGGGAGAAAAACAGCGAGTGGCCGATTATCAGAAACATCGAAAGGATGCCCAATTTGTAAAGTTCACCTTCATGCGAGTGAATGTTTCGCTGCTTTTCATCACAACATGGCACTGAGGGGAAAACGCACCGTGGGAACACAAACACGAAGTTCGGAAGAGCAGCCCTCGACATCAGGCAGACACATGGGAGAAGCCCACCAGGGTGGACGACTAAGAAAGGCGCACAACAAATAAATTTGGGACTTATCAGCATCACAAACTGTACAATAGTTTGAGTTGGTGAAAATACGTTATCGTTAATTTAGTTTCATGCTCAATCGGTATTTATACGTTTTAATGTCAGGATAGTTCATCAGGTCTAGTCGGTTGAAATACGTTTCTGCGTGAGTACATTGTATATATATATATATATACACGCCAAGTCCCTGCAGTTACGTTTTGTTTCAAGTCGTTAAATATACGTTGAAATATTTAATTAGTTAATCGGGTCATGTCAGTGAATATACGTTGCCGTGTGAAGGTAACCCCGATCAAGTCGTTGCAGTTACATTCTTGTTCGTTTTAGTCTCAGTTTGAGTTGTTAAATATATGTTGTAAGTGTGGGCTTACTCGTACAGTCAAGTCGGTTAATATACATTAGAGCTTGAATATAACATCAGTCAAGTCGCAGAAAGTACGTTGTAATATGTTACACATGTAGTTCAAGTCGTTGAATATACGTTGCAATTTGAAATGTACGCTGACAGGTCAAGTACGTCAAACACGTTTTTCCCCGTACATGTCCCAAATATCCCTCTACTCGCGCGTTTTTTTTTTCTTACTTCGAACTTGCATTCAATTAAGCAATTATATTTATTTCAATGTTTAACACATGTTTATTGAGACTGTACAAAGGGCAAAACATCGATTCTTAACGACAGTAAAAAATGTGTATTGAAATAAAATGGTGATTTTTTTTATACGAGAAATTGTTGTCCATGGTGGTAATGAAGTGTGTATGCGAACAGATTGCAAAAAATGTAAAAACTGAAGTCGATACAGTCTGTTAACTATGGCCTATTTTTACAAAAATGTCTGGCAGGATAGCATGCACAGATGCTGGCTACTGGAGTGCATTGAATCATGACCGTTTTTCACCAACTTAACCTGATAGCCTGAAACTCCCCTGACCGGAAAAGGGTTAAGGATTCTTGTTAACAATTACAAAGTGTTTTATAAGTTTCATATGAGAGTTCTGACTTATCTTGCTGGTTGGTTGGTAATTAAAGTGCATTCTCAGGGTTTTTTCTTGAAAAAAAAACTGCAAGAGGGAGCACTGCAATTCAGCGGCGCCACCAAGTGGGGGAGATAGGGTTCTCCCTACCAGAGTGTGGAGTTTTTGATAATTCTAAGTTAAAATGGAGCATTCTATGGCTTCCTTGGGGCCAAAATAATTACTATCAGACAGGTCATAGTTGAAGACTGTGGCCACATGTGATCCCTAGTCAATCAGAATTTTATGGTTGCCAGAAGATCTGCTCCTCAGGGTAAGGGGGCGCATGGCCATGCAGGAGGGTGCTGCACTCCTGTTCCCTTGTTTAAACATATCCCTGAGAATACCCATCTATAGTTTTGGTTTTATTGTTTTAAGGACAATATTAAGAATGAAAAGTCGTTTCCTTTTGTCTCCTTTGTCTCAAGACCCCAGTGAGCAGTTCACTTCTAAAGAACTTCATGATATAAGCTTTCTCTCTGGGAAAATTGTTTACATTAATTGATATAAAGAAATTTCAAAGAAAATCTGATAAAATGTTCTCCAACCTTCTTTTCCATTAACTCTATAAAGACTTTATCCCACTTCAGATGTAACAGCTACCTGTATTTTAGAAGGATTCCAAAACCAGAACAGTATGCTACTTGCCGACAAAGTACTCAAAGATATGGGAAAAGAAAAAGCAAAGAAGAAATATTCTGTAAGAACTATTTTTAGTAAATTTTTAGGTTTATAACATACTTATGAAATTCTATGTGTTAAACTATTCACTACCATTTATAAGTTGTCTCCTGCCACAAATTAATAAAAAACAGTCCAATGTAACAGTGTGATTGAAACTAAATTGGGTTATAAGACCCCCCCCCCCCCAAAAAAAAATATTTTTAGTCAGTTTTTGTCAGAATATTAGTAAAAATTAACTTTCTTGTCAGTCACAATTTTTTTTCCTTTACAAATATTTAAAATAAAAATACTAAAACAAATGTCTGCATCAGTATTAAAAAACAAATTGACAGGACATGATCAATTTCAAAACAAATTAACAGGACATGATCAATTTCAAAACAAATTGACAGGACATGATCAATTTCAAAACAAAATAATGCATTGTTTGAAAAATGCCGATCTCATCTGATTGTTCAACATTTATGTGTTTAAAGCATTGTTAAACATCCTATGTTTTGAATTTTAACAGAATATGACATCCTGGATCTTGCACTTCAATTGAAATAAATCTTCCAAATGTTTGTATCACATATTGTTTTGCAGACCCGCACACCTTCGATGCCTTCCAAGCAATTTATCAAGTCATACTTTTCCTCATTTGCGCAAGATATCACAACACAACCATTAGAAAGTTTACCTGTTGAGAAAACAAAGAGCATTGATAAAGTAGACATTGAAAAAGACGCACAAGACGTGGAATTGGTAGAGGATGTAAAGAATGAGACTGATGGAGAAGATGAAAAAGTAGAGGGTGACAACGATGATGAAGATAAGGACAAAGATGAAAGTGTGGAAACTCCAAAATCCAGGTATTTATATTTGTTCTATTTACCAGGGTATTATTTATTTTTTGTTGTTGTTGTTGTTTGTAGACTTCATTTGTGTAGTTTTTAGCTTCGCTGTTGACAAAGTCATCTTCTTCTTCGAAACTGCAAGTCAGAATGTTTTCAAATACTTTCAACTTCTTGTAAAAAAACGCAAGTCTGATTGCTTTGATATTACATAGATAGGTACTACATGTGGACCTCTCTCAGCTTTGTTCATTTTGTGATATCTTTAATTCTCTAATTTTGATGAATATTTTTGTCATTTTGGTAAAAAGTGATATTTTCGACTTCTTGTTAAGTCTGATTGCTTTGATACAATACATATTGTTCATTTTCTAATGATATCTTCAGTTCTTTAATTGAAATGTGTATTGCTAACAGTGGAGATATCTCAGCCGACAGGCTGCTTGTAATTAAACTGACCTGTTTATCATTATTCATCCTGTATCACCATTTTCTCTGTTCTATTTTCAGTGGATACAGAAAAGCCAGAGAATACTTTGATAATGAAGATTATGACAAAATAATTGATGAATGTACAAAAGAGATTGATAGTGAGGGACCATGTATGGCTCATGCTGTGTTGATGAGAGCCACTTTCTATATGCTAAAAGGACAGGCCAATCTTGGTAAACCTGGCTTAGATGATGTTATTGATATGGAAAGTGCTGATAAAATGGTAAGTTAAGGATACAAAGCCACTTAGCTTAGTGGTTATTATGGTATTGTGTGGATTTTACAAAGTTTGCACAAAAACTGAATAGGAATCATTGGAATTGCAAAACAGTTTTCTATGGTTACAAGAACACATACAAGTTTACAAGATGACACATGGAATACAAAAACAATGAATATATATATATATATACATGTATATAGACACAGTGGTTTACGGTATATCTCTTTTTGGAATATGTGTTGGCCCTGAAAAGGGCTGTTGTTGGGAGTTCACCTCGAACAGTTGAGATTTGTTAGCTCTGAAAAGGGCTGTTTGTTTCGTCTGGTTTCTTCATACTATTCGACGTCGTCACTGTCGCTGTCAAACAAATTAGCGTTAATTAGCGAAATCATGTCGTCTTCTGTCCCGTCTAAATTGTTGGAGATGCCACCTTTCAGGAAAGATTGTTTCACAGTAGTTTCGGACCACAATCCGTCGACCCAGTCCACGATCAAATCTCTACTCGCACATTTACGTTTTCCAGCAGGAGTAAATTTGGCATGTCCTTCCTTCATCCACAAATCCCATAAGTTGTGCAAGCTGTCTTTTACTGGCCGATTCATTCCGACGTCAAGAGGCTGAAGGAGTGAAGTAATGCCGCCAGGAATTACCGCTATGTCGACGTTTCTCTCTGTCAGTGCAGCCTTTACTTTTGCCGTCAGGTGAACCGAGCAAGAGTCCCATATTAGCAGTCTTCTACTTTCGTCGTCGCGATGTGGAAATGTGTGTCGTATGCAGTCAAGACAGCCTAGAAATAAACAAAAAGACAAAATAAGTTCCGAACTACAAAAAAGGCATGCGGTTCATGCAGACGACCTAATTTACATACAGGACGTCATATGGCGCCCCAATCAAGCAATGCCCAAAGAACATACGAGTATATGTTGGAGTACCGGTAACTGAAACATCCGGTCATTCTACCCAGATTTCCCAGTGAATAACGTATGCTCTAAAAATAGAATATCGGTACTATACTTTTATTTGTAATGAAAAAAAACCTTACCTGGTTCATCAATACCGGTATATCCCTTGGGATGTACTCGAACTTGAACGCTTCCAGTTGACAAGTGAGACTGATCACGCTTCCCTTTAAATATGATCACCGGTTTCAGCTTGGTACCATCTGCAGCAACTTTTAACACTACCGTGAAACCCTTTTTCTCATTTCCTGTCGTTTTTATATGTACAGTCTGAGCACCCTTATGGTCTAGTGTGTGATTTCCAGGCATATCGAAGCGCAATGGCGTTTCGTCAAAGTTGAATATGTTGGATAGTGGGTAATTGTGTTGTTGTCGAAGTCGGTAACGTAGCGATGAAATGGCGTGATTTTTTTTTCTTCATAATCTGGCGGTAACTTTTGTCCGATTGATGTCCTTTGATGGGTCGACAAAGTGTGGTGATGTTTGAAACATCTCAACCAGCCCTCTGATGCCTTGAAATTTTTACTGCTCTACGCTCTGAGTGTCTGGCGTTGTAGCTGCTTCCCGGTGACTCCATTGCCATTTTTACGCTGGTTTTCAAACCATTGCAATAAACTGCTGTCTGCTTCCTTGTCAGTGACAGACCGACCTCCGCCTGCTAGACGTTTAGCCGATTTTGATCTCACTGCAAGTTTGTCTTTTTGCTTGATCCAATCACGAACCTGTCTTTCATTTAGACCGTAATGCTCAGCAGTCTTTCTGTTGTTGCCCCACTCGAAAGCAGTTGAAACAACCTTCAACTTGCATGATAGGTCATTAGCTGCGCGTCTGCGACTGCCACTTGGTTTTGTATCCTTCGGCATATTTGAAAATAATTTGGCAATAGATAAAGCGTAGTAATAATAATATTGTAGCGATTGCAATGTACTCAGGTCAGTAGAACATGAGATAAGTGAATTTGCTATCCCCAAAACCCTGCTTTTATGGAATGATTTTGCATCTCATTATTACTCAAACAATACTGGTACTCTCAATACAATAAAATATCATAAACTTGTAAATGGTGCAGTGGCTCTGGCGGTTGCAGCGAATCCTTTGACGATCAAAGTCAACTGGCTACTGTTGGTATCAATAATAGGGCGATAATCACGTGTTGAAGCATTGACAACAACTAGAATTTTAAAGTTTTATTACTACTATTATTAGCTCCGCTGTCGACTTTGTCGAGCGGAGCTTATAATATGAGTGATTGTCCGTCGTCGTCGTCCGTGTCAATGTTTTACTTTTTCGACTTCTTCTTGAAAACTACAAGCCTAAATGCTTTGATACTTGGTGTATATGTACCTTGGATAGACCTCTCTTAGGTTTGTTCATTTCATGTTGATATCTTTAATTCTCTAATTTTGGTGAATATTTTTGTCATTTTTGGTAAAAAATGATATTTTTGACTTCTTGTTAAAAACCGCAAGTGCAATTGCTTTGATATTACATCTATAGGTACTACATGTGGACCTCTCTCAGATTTGTTAATTTTGTAATGATATCTTTAATACTTTAATTTTGGTGAATATTTTTGTCATTTTTGGTAAAAACTGATATTTTCGACTTCTTGTTAAAAACCGCAAGTCCAATTGCTTTGATACTACATATATAGTACTACATGTGGACCTCTCTCAGATTTGTTCATTTTGTGATGATATCTTCAATTCTCTAATTTTGGTGAATATTTTTGTCATTTTTGGTAAAAAGTGATATTTTTGACTTCTTGTTAAAAACCGCAAGTCCGATTGCTTTGATATTACATATATAGGTACTACATGTGGACCTCTCTCAGATTTGTTCGTTTTGTGATGATATCTTCAATTCTCTAATTAAAATTTATTTTGGTGAATATTTTTGTAATTTTTGGTAAAAAGTGATATTTTCGACTTCTTGTTAAAAACTGTAAGTCCGATTGCTTTGATACTATTCATATTGTTCATTTTCTAATGATTTCTTCAGTTCTTTAATTGAAATGTGCATTGCTAACAGCGGAGCTATCTCAGCCGATAGGCTGCTTGTCTTTATTACTCTTAATAAATTCTCTACAAATGTAGCCCTTGAGGTAAATGCAGATTGATTCTCTCAAACACTTTGAGACAACTATTCCACTCTGTTACAATGTATTAAAATAAAAGCACCGTGTAAGGTAGCGCTTGTCCCGGGCCCGGCAGTTCTCATTACTATACAGTGTACACCTAACGCTAGATTAATCCCGCTATGAAATAATAAATTTTATTCAAGGATATTCTTTTTTTTCAAATGATTGTAGTTTGGGTATGATTTTTAGCCTGGCAATAAATGCAGTTACATTCTGAACAAAGATCGGCACATGTTTCCTAGCTATATAGCAATGTTTTTGTTTTGATTGTATCGTTACTGTTGTGTCAAATAAATAGAATGGTATGCGTGGATCTGGCATTCTCATTGGTGTAGCCATAGTTGACTCCAAAGAACAAACGTTCCACAGTGACGTCAAAGTTGACCTATGCAAATGATGACAACATGTTTTTGTTTCAAATAAAATGGCGTCTTGTGATGAGTTCCGTGACACATGGTTCACTGGGCTGATTTTTGGACGAAGAAGAATATTTATTTTACGATTTTCTGGTTTTTAGCCATACATGAAAAGTATGGTGATCAGAACATGGGAACCCGGGTATGTGGAAGTTTGGCGATCGTCAACTACGGCCGGAACCCGGGTATGTGGAAGTTTGGCAATCGTCAACTACGGCCAGAACCCGGGTATGTGGAAGTTTGGCAATCGTCAACTACGGCCGGAACCCGGGTATGTGGAAGTTTGGTGATCGTCAACTACGGCCGAGTTCTGTATCGGCATGAAGTTTGGCGATCGTCAACTACGGCCAAGTTCTGTATCGGCATGAAGTTTGGCGATCGTCAACTACGGCCGAGTTCTGTATCGGCATGATTCCGTGATGTCACTCAATTATTCTTTTGAGACGAGACAGACAACCCAGCTGTTTTTTTATGAAAAACTGACTTTTAACTTGCGGATGACAACCAAATGTTGACGTTTAGCATCTATTTATTAGGCATTCATAACCAATACACATTTTGACTGACACAAACATTTTAACACTTAGACATAACAAAGACACAAAAATAATGTTCGAACAGTACGCAAGAAAAAAAAAACACAAGACAATTTTTTGCTCAAAATAAATTTTTACTTTTTTGGGGGTTCAAGGCCAAGAAGGGGGTGCGATTAGTATTATGTACTTTTCCAGTTTTCAATTTTTCTCACGGTCAAGAGGTCTCTGAAGTGAGAATTTAGGGTACAGTTAGTAATACGGATGCGGTTTATATTAGGACTTTAACGGTATTCATTATACATCATGTTATAGATATATACATGTATTCAAAATGGCTGATTTTGTTTTAATTAATGCTGTTCCAGAGCAATTATTCTCAATGTGGACATGTACTTGTTTGACGATCAGATACAAATGTCAATCATTTTAATGTTAAACAATCATCATAATCATATTTCTGACATGTTTATATTCCAGCTATATTACTATAAACAAAACTATATATCTTAAATTCGATAACTAACGAGGACTGTGCCATGCATGGCTTGTCATTTTTACATTTTCAAGGTCTTGAAAAAAACATGAACGTAATTTCCAAAATATGCAATAATGACATGCTGACTTTAGCAGACCAGTAGAAACCATTGGTTGAGTTTATACTTATCATTACTGTGAATGAATCGTCAGAAATGAAATTTTTTCAACCCATCAAAATTCTCGAATGTTCTTTGTTGAACTTGACTCACATTGTGCACATGATATGCAATATATATAGTTCATTCTACCACAATAAATATTATCATTGCTAATAATTCCAACTACTGTAAAATACTTTATTTTAGCCAGGATTAATTTTCACTGAAAAAACTTTTTGGGTGTTTCTGCATTTTTTTCACTGATTGTTGGTGAGTTGAATATAAAATATAGGAAAAAAGGATTCTTCAGCAAAAATAGCGAAAATAAAGCATTTTACAATAGTTGTTCATCATCAAAACAACACAAAATTTTGACAATATATCTGATGGTATGACGGGTTTCTGATGCACATGATTTTTAGGTGTTTTGAATTTTTGCTGATTGTTGGATGTGAAATATTGGGAAAAGATATATTTGCTGGATTTTATTTTCACTGAATTATCCCTGCATTCACAACCAATGAATAAAAGCATTTGCATGAACGCTTAGCACAGGCTATGAAATTATATGTATGGATTAAATCTGTCCTGTTTGTAAGACCTGGTCCTAGTTCAGGCTAAGTGTCCAAAACACCATTGTATTCTATGTCCACTTGAACAATTTACTATAATCATACTCATAATTAATCACTTGGACTTGTACACTTCCAACACAACAATCAATGCGAGCACATCTAAGAAAATTGTTCTTGAGCAAAAAATAAACTAACTATGAGACTCTGAGCTACTTGTTGTTATTCTGCAATTTGCACTTTCTGATTTTGCTTTGTTATAGTTGTAGAGACATAAAACTAACATGTATCATAGTTACAATAACTGAAGATTTTTGTATATTCTTAACAAGTTTGGGCGTTCCTAAGCCTGTGCTAACCACTGTAAATATTCATGATATCTAAGGCCATGTATTTTTATTTTCAGAATTGTATTTTTTCATTATTCAGTTAAAATTAATATTAATAACTTATGCTATTTATAGATATATCTTTGATTATAATAGCAGTAACAATAATTCACAAAAAATGCTGCTGTGAATTTTCAACTAGCTAACTGAACATGTACATTTCATTTTTCAGTTAAGAGTAAATGCATTAATCAAAAGAGGGAGTATGTATATGCAACAAGGTAACTCAACAGAAGCGCTCAATGACTTCGCGCAGGCTGTACGTATCGATCCAGAAAATGCAGACATCTACCATCATAGAGGACAGGTAAGAAATCGGTGTATAGCAATCACCCAACATAGTTTAAAGAAATTGTCATTTATAGAAAGGTGGTCTATAAATAGAGGTTGATTAATTAATTAATTAATTAATCAACTGATAAAAATACAGTAATAATTTCCCGGTTGAAGTTTGTCAACAGATGTTTGTTTTGTCTAGACTAAATAGAAAATGTCAGTGTGGAAAATATGTGAGCTTCTACTGTCATTTTGGCATTTATACACATTTGACCAAACTGGTACCAAAAGGGTGGCATCCATCCGTCCGTCCGTCCGTTCGTGCATGCATCCTGTATCTTAGACATGCCTTACTGATTATATTCAAACATCATACTCATAACTCAGTCATGTTTATGTTAAAATTATATTACTACATGTATAAACAAAACTATATATCTTAAATTTGATAACTAACAGGGACTGTGCCATGCATGGCTTGTTGTATTTAGCCATAATTTGTTATTGTTATTATAATCAATAATCTTTTAATTTCAGCTAAATGTTCTTTTGGACCGAGTTGATGAAGCACTCAAAGACTTTGAGAAATGTGTGTCTCTAAACCCAGGCTTTGCCTTGGCCCAAGCACAACACTGTTATGCAATGTATCGTGCCGCCTTTGCACAACGAAGTCCCATGCAGTTACAGGCAGCAATGAATGCTTTTGAAAAAGTTATAAAAGATTTTCCAAATTGTGCAGAAGGATATGCACTTTTTGCTCAGGTGAGTCACCCTGGTTACATTGGAAACAGACAGTTGCTTATTTAATTTGGAGGGTTATGTACTCATTGCTCAGGTGAGTCGATCTGATCACCTTGGATACAGACAGCTGCTAATTTAATGTGGAGAGATATGCAATCTTTGCTGAAGGATACTCTAAAGGGTCAAAGTTGATATTTAGTGTACATCGTACTTTGTTCAAAACTTGCATTCATGTTGGCCTTAGGAGGATGCATTAGATTTAAGGAAAATCATATTTTATCAACACAAATCTCACACTTGTGGACATGGTCACTGCCCTTTAAAAAATACTGTCTGTGGGCATGGACAGTAGGAAATGGAGTTACAGGGTATGGACAGTA